ACGTGTTCTTTAACGTTTCCAGAGTTCTTTTTGAAAATATTGTGAAATGCTATCACTTTAACCTGACCCACGCGGGTCAAGTTAGGAAACCACAATTTTATTCTTTATATGGAGAAAAAGTTTTGTTCCTTTGACTGTCATATATATTTATTTTGAGGGCATTTAGAGAATAATGAATGAAATATTCAAAACTAAGAAATGAAAATTTTGCCTGTGTCTCCCTTTAATACCTTTGTTTTATGCAATATATTGGTTGGAATCTCGTCTAAGTATATTTGTTCCGATAGTGTGACACTATATACTGTGCCTTTTTTCTGACTATGTAATAACCAATAAACAGATGTCTTTGAAGCAGACTTTTGTATTAAAATATTCTAGTTATTAATAAAATGATCATATAGTTTGTACAATACCATAATAAAACTGAAAACATTATTTTTCTGGATGTGAACATTTTTTTAATATAAATACTCATATATTGTTATAAAAGTAAATTCATAATAAAGTCAAAGTCTACTGCTATTTCATGTTAATGCTTTTTCATGTTAGTTTCTTGTCTTTAATTTAATCCGTTGATAAACATGTATATTGAAATGATAACCAAACCTTTTAACATTTGAAATAGCTAAATAGCAACTTTTTGCATTCAAGAACGTTATCTCAAACCAAGCTTAATATCTTAAATTGACTTTTCCTTTTTTCAGTCTAGACAAAATCAGTCATTTTGTTAAGAAATTGTCTGAGTAAACAGTGACTGAACAGTGCAGACTTTGTCCAGACCGCAATGACGTTCCTTCTTTTTTTAGTCTGCACTGGTCGCATGGCTAGATTCAGTTGCTACCAGCATTTATAAATCGTACATGTACTTTCTAAAACAGTGGGCAATTTATCTGAATTATGTAAATATTATCTCAATTATTGCAAGATCATCTCAATAATTGCAATATAACCTTTTCACATCGGTAAAATACTAAAATACTGCCGACATGTAATTCATGACTATTTCGTGTCAGAGAACAAGAAATCAGTTTAAAATTCTTCTGCTAAAGAAGAGAGTATTTTTTTCTGAGATATAATTGAGTCCTAACCACCTCTTGTCTTTGCCATAAGACGAGGGACAATTGACAGCTACGCTTATAGTTCAGTTTCTTAAGTTAAGATCTAATCAAACATGCCAATCTCAATACCTCATCACTTTGCAAGAAATTCAGAATCTTATTGAGCGAATGATTTTCTGATGACCCTTGGGAATTATATATTTTCCGGTGAATAGGTCCTCGCTGGTGTGGAAGTAACTATTTGTACCATATTTGTTTTGTATTTGTAACAGTAAGCCGATGGCTCATTTTTCTTTTATGTCTGTGTAATGAATCGAGAGAGAGCTTAAATGTAATTTGAGATAGAACAAAAACGGAATTTATAGTTCAAATTGTCGTAAAAACTACTTTTCTTTCAATTGATAGTCATCATACATTTTTTTCTTATAATAGATAGATGTTTTTTTTTCAATGGTATTAAAATAGCTTAGATGCTTAAAAGTTTAATTTGAAAAAAAGTAGCCTTTATTAAGACCTATGATTGAAATGCAAAATCGTGTATGGTTTATAAGGCCATGAGGCACTAGCATACAGTTCAATATATTAAAGATTTTAATACGATATATTGTTCAGTATCATACAATCATACAGGGCATACCATTTGATTGAGTCGATGGTATGTAATTTATTTCCTCAGCATGGCAAATATGTGTTCATTATGCTGATATAGACAACTTTACTTGATAAATAACATCAAATATACATCAATTACGAAAGAAGTCATAATAATAAAAGACCGCCGCCACGAGAAAAGGGCACTCGGGCATTTTTTATCGATTTTTAGTATATATATATATATATATATATATATATATATATATATATATATATATATATATATATATATATATATATATATATATATATATATATATATATATATATATATATATATATATATTATGTCATCACTTTAATAGTATATATGCATTCTAAACATAGTCACCTTAGTGCAGTAACGGGTTATATCCTTTTATAATATCTAATTGAAAGTAATCGGTTATTGCAACCATTATCAATTAAATATCTTATTTTCATTATTTATATTTGAGGCTAAAATGAATGAGTTGAAAATGCTAGTTAATAACTAATCAAATTGTTTAACTGTTAAGCAAACATTACTGAATTGTCATGGTATTCGGGGGGGGGGGAACTATTTGATTGTTAGTACTAGTAATATAGTCATTTTATCTTGTTCTAGCATATCTTGATAATATTTTCATGGAATATAATCAATATCATATCATTTGATAACAGAAGACTAATCAAGTTGAAAGGTATGGTAGAAAGGAATCAAAAGTTATAGATAACACTAACATTTCAAAATCAAATATGGGTAGTAGTCATGATTGAATTTAATTGAAAATTGTTTGGTTGTCATGTGGAATCAAATGTTAACGCTACAGCTTGATGGTCAAACAAACTAACAGGTGGTTCCATGCCTTACCATTTCTAATAAAACACCATCGTATATTTATTATATACGAATTTAAATAAGATTTTATAGGGCTGGTTTTGACATGACAATAGTAAGGATCTTAAAAAATCGCTATACAATACTGGTATATTTAATTTTGTAAATATTGAACCCACAATTCAAATAGCATCTAATGTATAGTTATTTCTTTAAAGTTAGAAATAGTTTAAATTCATTTATCTTAATTGTTTCAAAATTATATCAATTATTGTAATATTTTCTCAATAATTGAAAAATAACCTTTTAACTAGATGAAAATATTAACACATAATCGATGACTATTACTTGTAAGAAAGGAACGATCAATGTGCATATCCCTCTGACAAACCAAAAAAAAAGAGTAGCATTTTTTTCTTAGAATTGAAAGGGTCTGTACCACCTCCTATGTTGATATTAAAGCAGAGTAAAATTGAAAGCTACGTTAATCAAACATGCCAATCTCAATACCTCATCACTTTGCAAAATATTCAGAACTTATTGAGCGAGTAATTTTCTGCTGACCCCGGGGAATTAAATTCATCCCGATGAATAGCTGCTTATTTATAAAGAAGATATTACTTTTTTTACCATATTTGTTTTGTATTTGTAACAGTAAGCCGATGGCTCATTTTTCCTTTATATCTGTGTAATGAGCCAAGAGAGCTGAAATAGTAATTTGACATTGACAAAACACCAAAGAAAATATTATGCCAATAATACTATTCTTTCAAGTTATTTTCATCTATACTTTTCTTTTTGCAGTGTAATATGGTTAGTATGTAACCGTGGGTGAACGTTATTTGAATTTGTAAAGTGAAAACTTTTATTTAACGCTTACAGTTCGTCGTGTATTACTACAAAAAAAACTAAAATATAATTACAAGGCTCATTTTGCCACGAGCCTTTTAATATCCCCTCATATTTCTCTATAATATGCCAGCATATTTCACATTGTAAATATTGAACCGCAATTTGAATAACAAAATGTATGATTATTTCTTTTAAATAAGATTAAAACTTAGACCTATGAATATCTGTATAGCTTTACAAATGAGATACTAAAGCACTCATTACGAGAACTGTAAACGTGCCTTTTCCCACAATTCGCTGAATCAGATACAAAGTAAAGGAGATTTGACAGCTATTATAACAGTTAAGAACCCTTAACAACTTCTGAACAAAATAAATGGAACACCAATCTCACATTCTAAGATTGTTAAGAAATATTCAGGATTTTATTGAGCGTGTGATTTTCTGTTGACCTTCGGCAATAGGAAATATCCTGTTGAATATAACTATGCTTATAACATATTTGATTCGTAAAGTTTGTGATAAAATGAGGTTCGCGTGATTGTATTTCAATTTCCCTTTCAGAAGAAGCCACTGGGGGTTTCTTAAATGTAATTATTAATAATGGAACAACATAAGAAAGGAATACTGATTGTTTTTCGAACCTAATCTCTACAATGCAACTGTTTTTTTGTTTTTTCAAAGAAAAAATCACGTCATTATAATTAGTTTGTTTTTCTTATTATTACGATTTTATCACAAGTATAGCAAGCTAGGCAAAATATAACTAGTACGATACTTCTTCCACACAATGAATAGCTGCAGATATATCTTTAACGCTTTTAATTCATATACAACGCAAGTATAGCAGATTCCTTGTTTTACCGTTTTTTAATAATATGATTATATAACGACGTCAAAGATGACAGATTCCCTGTTTTAATGCTTTAAAAAAAGCATAAGTATGTATACATATTTTGACAATTCATTTGATGAAAGATGAATTTGAGTGAAGTGGTAGTGTTTGTTGGTTTTTCTGAAAACAAATGATTGAAATATACATTATTGATAAAATTTTTCTGTCATAATTATGGATGGTCAGTTGTAAATGCCGTCTGCGAAGAGCTAAAAGGACGTAATATGGCCTTCAAGAGAATTTACGGTTGTCACGAACTGTACTTTAAATGACAAATTTGTCAGAACTAGACAAGTTTTAGTGTATTAAGATATTCGGTTTTCAAAGCACTTTTATTAATCTTTGGTTTATTTGAAAAGCATACATTCTTAGTCTTGAATCTTAAGAATTGCTGTATGGTCAAAAGTTATTTGCTGGAAAAAAGCTGCATTGAACCAAAAGTGTTGAATTGAAAACTATCTTAACAATGAAGATAAAATTGGTTTTTATGGCATCAGTTTGTCGTGTGCAGTTAACAGAAAAGTGAAACGAAGGGCCGATGAATGCTCAGACCTTCTGTATGAAATATAAACAAACATCAATAAAGGCTGAAGGATCTTACCTGGATCTTGCAAAGGGTCCCCACCATGTATCGCCAATATATCTACAGTACCATCTCCGTCTATGTCTTTGATAATCTGAGCCGTGTACAAATTCATTATGTCATTCTTTGCTTCTTGTTTACCGAAATTCCAAATCAGAGACCCGTCTTTTCCGCTCACAGCTTGGAAAGCCTATATTAAAGAAAATATTAACAAACAAATGTGTAATATGTGAAACATTGTATTAAACTTTGACAGTTCGATTATCCACTTGTTAAAAGAATGTCTTAATGAGTAACTTTTCTTAAGAAGAGTTATTAAGAATGTTAATTCATTGATCGATTGAAAATACTTCACATTCTATCTGACACTTGACTTTCCGACATTTTTTGTACAGAACTTTTCCTTGAATAAATAAGGTCACATTTCAGTAAAGTTTCAAAGCAATATTCGTTGCCATTTTTTTACAGTTTATTAACCTCCCCAGTCGGTGCCCGGGGGGAGGGGGGCTTTAGGAATGTTGCACTTTTTCATTATACCTGATGTACAGACTCAATCAAACCGCGTTCTGCAATCTTCATGTAATTTTGTTGTGATTAATGCTTCCGAGAATCACATTGTTGTGCATGCGAGGGATCGTAATCTCATTATTTTCTGAGTTCTTGTATTCCTTAATTATTGACGGAACATTAATAAAACAGTTGAAATGTTTGTCACCACCCCATTTCTAGTACATTGTATAAATTCTCGAGAGGGTTGTCGTTATATTTGAATAATTAAAAATGTGTCGAGAGTACAGACTATTCTTCTCATATAGACATGACAACAAGGTGGAAGCACTAAAGCAAATGAAAAACATATGCATGTGGATGCAGTCAATTTATTTGTGTATAAATTGTTGTTGTTTTTTGTGGTTTTTGTTGTTTTTCTTTGTTTACTATTTTAGGAATGTGGATCTGTTGTCATGGGAACGTAAAATAACAGCAGATCGCCGGTCTATATGGATATCTTTACCGTACCTGATTAGGGGAAAAGCAACCTTAGAAATACCATTGTAATTTTTATTGATTAATTAACAAAGAAATTGTTTGAGAGTGAAGTCAATAGAATGTTATGTGGTTCCATCAAATAATGACAGCGGTTTATTGAATTCTGATAGGCAATGCAATAGGCGAGGTATCTAATTGATTATTGCGCGTAATTATACGGAAACATTGAGTAGACGATGTTGACTCTGTAAACGATTTTTTCTGGAATATTAATATCTAATATTGAAAGAAAACATCTAGCAGTGATTTATGTGTTTAACTACATAATGAGTTGCTTTGTTATATGCGATGTGCTCCATTACTGTAGTTACAAAAAACTGACACTCGACAGAGTATTTTGTTGACGAACGCGATGTCCTACTGTTAAATCAGATATATTCACGTGGTCTTAATTTTGCGAAATCAACATTTTATACTAATTGGTGATGTTAAATATTTTTGCGAAATTTCACTTTTAGTTCTGAGAGATATATATGATACATACTTTCGCACCTTTTTGCGAAAATTTAATTCTGAATTTACAATAAACATCATCTGTGACAGAGACTGTTTTCTGAGTTGCTTTACTTATTTAATTAAAAATTCGTTGTGTTTTATCAAAATATGATTTGTTTTTCACTGTATGTAAATATGTTCTTGTGCACGACAATTTTGTATTTTGGATTAAATCCCATTATATTTTTATAGTCGATCAACAAAATGCCTGTCATTTAACAACGTTCGCCTACTTGATCATTATTTTCCTTCATAACATAAAAAAATGTTAAATGTTCCATATTTTTGTCATTTCATATAATGGATTACCTCCTTTTTACACAAATTTTGTGAGATTCATTTGCAGACAACTTTAAAGTGACATTATGCGTTTATTTAGTTGTTAGCTGAGATGAACTAGCTATATATTACAAAAGACTGACTATTATAATGGGAATTGGCCAATAATAAATTAATATGATGAAATGTATATAATTTGAACGTTACCGATAATGCCCAGAAATATTCATGTATTTGTTCTGGAATTCTCATGGGTTATTGATGATACACGTGATATATAATATAAAATTGAGAATTGTTATGAAAAAATGTAAGTTTTTTTTCACCTACACACCAACCATTTGCACTTAGATGGACATAATATCATTGACGCATGATGTCAATGATTTTTTATCCATCAAGGTCCCGCCCAGTTATTCAAATTATTACTCGCCAAATTAAACAAAACCTACCCCCGCTCGACCGCCTGCCAGACAATCCATTACGCCATCTTTATTTAAGTCGACTTCACAGTTAAGTCCATAAATTTCATGATCCGAATAGTGCCGCCATAATTCTTTTCCACTGGCTCCCTCTAGCGCTAACAATCCCCCAAAACATGGGTAGTTACCAGGGAAGTAAATATCACATACTATGCTAGGAATGTTGTAGCCATCTGCACCTAGCGTTCAAAAGAATTCAAATGAATGAATATAACGATATAGAATATTCAAATAAAAATAGAAAAAACGTTTAACTTTTACATACATATATTGCAAAGAAATCTCAAAACATTAATAAGTATTACAATGTAATAAAATTTGCCTGAAATGTTAAAACACTAATTTCGATTTCAGATCCGATATCTTAAACAGATGAAGGAGAACAATATATAGTAATACCTGTTGCAAATCCCACAATGATGTCTAACACGCCATCTTGATTGACATCAACCAATCGGAATGCAGATTCTGTCAATAATTTAGGTATACCTACTGTCCAAACATCCTCAACTTCTATATGATCACAACCGACGATATCCGAATAATCCCGCGTTATTTTCTCATTAACAAAATTGAAAGCACCTGGTGAAATCACTTTATTAAATCCAGCTTTATTTTGCTCGTGTTTGTTTACAAAATACACAACAAGACCCATCAGAGAGCCCAATGAAAGCACCAAGAATAGAAAACATGAGACAGCATTTACTATTGGCCGGCATTTGCGGAGTCGGCCACGCCCAATTTTTGTTTTCGTTCTTGACCTTGGATACATTAAAGGTTTAGTTGCACCATCTTTATCTATGCTTGGACTTTCAACAAACACTTCATCCTCTTCGGAATATTCATTTTCCCAATCAGGAGGTTTTTCAAACCCATCTGGAAGGTAGCCATTCTTTTTACCTCCCTTGTTATATCTCACGGTCATCGACAGAGCCTCGGTTTCGTAAGCAGACATGTTCCGCTGTTGTCGTTACTGTAACTGTTCGGAGAAAAATTACCTTGAAAGGTAGAAATAACAGTTGGCGGTTTAAACGTGATTCAAAGTTCGATAGGCCATCTTAGAGTTATGAGGTAAAAGTGTTGATCTGAGATAACCTAGGCACTTTTTTTCAGGAATCTGTCATAAATAATCTGTAACAAAGAGGAAGAAAACTCATAATTGTTAATCTGTTTGCCATCGATCTTCAGAAAATACGTTGTAATAGTTTCAGAATATGTTAAAGCCGCCACATTGTGTCTCAGAAACAAGTACGTTTTTCTTTCTCTATAAAGGGCAGATATGAGTTTTATAATATTAAAATTATGGTTTTAGAGCATGTTACAAGCTTATCACCCGAAGAAAGAGGTGCTGAACATAAAATAATTGTCATAAAAGTAACAAAATGTAACAAAATAGTATTTTAACTTCAATACAAAATATCAAATAAATATATATAACCTATGAATTACTCAAAAGCAACAGAAGCAAAAGATGGTGCAGGAAATTGACAATTAGTTACTTTTCTTTAAAAACTATAATAGGTTAAACAAGACAACAAAAATTTAAAAAAATATTTATAACAATAAAAAAAATTCTTTCTTATGCATAATGGGCCTTTAGTAAATGTTATATAATATATTCTTTTTTAAAATTTCTTACAGATTCCATATCATATAATTGACCTTTTCAGCTGGTAGAACATAAAGTAGAAACCAAAAATAAAATTAAACCTAAGTATATAAAAATAGCCTTTTATTACATTTAAATGTATCTAAGATCAACGTTTGTGATTGTTTAAAGGCAAATTAATCTTCAGAAGTGGGTTCTTATTTCTTTCTTTTCTATGTATTATACTGTTAAATAATGGATTTAGATCATGTTTGACGATTATCATCTAGAGAAAGTAGAGCTGAATATAAAATATTGTGTCATAAAAGTAAGAAAACAATATATTGTAATCATGATATTATGATCTTAATCAAAAGGAGCTGGTCAATAATGCGTTTGTACAACATCGGCAATATGCTTTGTCTTTTATAAGCGTTTATTAGTTACTGTAGATAGTCATACAAACAAAAAGTGAAAAAAAATGAAAAAAGAGATTATGAAAATTATAAAAAGGTATGAAAGAAATTAAAAAAAATATCAAAGATCTAGATAGCTTCAAGAGGAAATCAAATAGAAGTGATATATGATTTCCTTAAAAAGATAATTTACTAAAAGTCGGCATAATAAATTAATAATCCATTTGTGTTCATTTTTTACCATAAAAGTGATATTTGTGTAATTCGCAACGCACGGCAATAGCATAACTTTTGCTTTGCATAATTTTTACCCAACGCATTCAATAATGCCAATGCACAATTTAATATTTCTTTTATAGTTTTCGTCGGTCTAATCTGCAACTAGTTATCATTTTTACGAATTCATGGAATTTCGGATATATACATCTTTCACAAATTAAGATGATACTCTTCACTTAAGGAGATACAAAAAAAGAGAATTAAACATAATGGCATAGACAGCGGATAGCGTTTCCAAATAAAGCTATCTGAAGACAGAACAAAATAAAGCTCTTGTTTTCATCAATATTGTGACATAAAGCGAGCGTGAACACAACTGTATTTATAGGAGAACGTCGATCAATATTCCCAACAGAAACATCGGAAAACACTTTGTAATTTGATCATATTTAATTCTCCTAAGAATTTTCCATGCCGTTTTATCAGTTGGAAGAATAGATATAATTTCATATATTACCATACCTGTATGAATAGTGTCAGAGTCGATAAAATCCAAAGTTATTCGAATAATTCAGCCGATGCAATGGTATAACTAATTCTACGAGAATTTGATCGCCATATTGAGATGGCCGGGATATCAATGACGTCATTACACACACCGTATATTGTTTATTACAGGCAGTGTCGCCTAAAACGGAATTGTTGGTAATAAAGCAAGATATGATAATCCCGCTGGGTTAATAATTCATGTTTGGAAGTTGACAATTTGTCGTTTCTTATCTTTTAATGTTCTCAGTCGGTATTTTCTCATGGAAAGATTATGACGATATTATTGATGATTTATTCGTCTGATAATTAGCGATTCCTCATTAATTCTGTCACTGTTAAATACCTGATGTATTATATTCCATCCTGAAAAGGTTATTGGCGTATTTTATGATGTCTTGTCATTATTTAGTCGTGTCGTATAAAATGATATAAGTTGACAGCACACGTTTTTTTAAACAATTATGAAAAAAGTACACAATGAATATTTACCGCAATTTTCAATTTTTTCATTAAAAACCCAAATAACATGTTACGTCTGTTATTTAAAGAATTAACTTTTTGTAAACATTCTTGAGTTACTTATGAACAACTTTGATACCGGTGCACTGACGAAGTTTTGACTTGCTAAGTTCACTGCCAATTAAACAAATGTATAATGAACACAATTAAGATTACCCGTTTAGCAAACACGTAAAATTTGACGCTAGCTTAATTATTCCAGAAATTATTTTCTAAAATAGCGCCACACTCTAAAGTAATCCACATCCACAAAATACTGGCACGTTGACTATATTTAAAAGAAACAAATAACTATCCAGATATCTGCAAAATCGCTAAAATTCCATCACATTGTCAACAGGGATTCATGAAAAGTAACAATTATCAGCTCCGGTATCCGCATACTGTTTAAGTACGGACAATAGTCCACCCACATAGAATGGTACTCGTAGTGATTTTTCTATAGGAAATCGATTGACTGGTTGTCCATGAAATATAAAATCCAATTCAGTACGTGTGTCAAGTCATTAGGAAGTTTTCCTGTAAACAGAGTGAGTGAATTATTAGAAATTGTTGATGTCCCCATATGCACTACAGAGTGTTTGATCAGCTAACTATACAGTAAATTGCTATGTTGACATTTTCTTCAGAAGATTGTGGTTTCGATTTCCCCTGTGGATATTTTAATTAATATCAGTCCTTGATAAAGTTGTAATTTGATATGCATTAAAAGGGTAATTGAATCTTTTTATTTTTTATATTTCGTCTTAAATGAATAATAAATAAATAAATAAATTTTGTAATAAGATAAATAAATGAATCCAATATAAATAAATAAATAAATAAATAAATAAATAAATAAATGAGCCGTGTCATGACAAAACCAATATAGTGGGTTTGCGACCAGCATGGATCCAGACCAGCCTGCGCATCTGCGCAGTCTGATCAGGATCCATGCTGTTCGCTATCAGTTTCTCTACTATTAGTAGGGTTTGTAAGCGAACAGCATGGATCCTGATCAGCTTGCGCGGATGCGCAGGCTGGTCTGGATTCATGCTGGTCGCAAAATCAAACGCACTATGTTGGTTTTGTCATGACACGGCTCAAATAAATAAATAAAGAAAGAAATAAAGAAATAAATGAATAAATATATGAATGAATAAATGAATGAAGGAAAGAACGCACACGAATGAACGAACAAACAAAACAAACATAACCATATATAAAACCAATGACAATGTTTTAACCCCTATCATCTAAATATCCTAAATGAACTTGTTCATCTTTGAATCTAGACAAAGCTATTTTAGGGGTAAATTTCAAAATTATGCATTAACAGTATAGCATGGCGAACAGTGCAGACCATGATCAGTTGGTACCGATGTGCTGTGCCGGTTGATCTCGGTCTGCACTAGTCGCATATAATATATATGATATTCCAAGCAGAGCCAGGGTTAAACAAAATGTACTTACCGTACTTATTTTTCAAAATTCCTTCATTGAATCGAAACATTCCGATGTTTGCGCCAATCCCTGGTTTAAGATGATTAGTAACTCGGTTCCCAAGTAGCTGAAGTAATCACATCCGCTTATATTACTTTTTATAGAAGCACATATCAATTACACATAATCAAAGGGACATCACTCTCATTGAATATAAATATCAGTCCAAATATGTCAAAATGCGAATATAATGAATAATTCTTGCTGTATCTACGGGTTATATATTTTTTGTGTGCAAATTCTGATTACGTAAGCTAATAACTATGGACGCACTTAGAAGACATATACGAAAAAAATTCTCCTTATTTCTTCTGTTACATATAACTATGTTATTTATTATAATATATTGAATACACTGGTAGAAAGTATATTTGTATGTACTAAATGTAATATGGGCATGTCATAACAATTAATACCTTTCATAGTTGAAAATAAGATGCAAAATGGATTCGTACATTTAATAATCGCATAGAACCATATCTTACTTGGGCACATCACAAAACAATTGGAAATAATTATATAACATATTTTTAGAAATAATCTCGCCAACTTTGAGATTAAACTTTTCTATTCAATTTGTATTTTTCGACCGTAGCTGACTGTTTTCACCATCACATCCGGTGAATTGAAGGGCTATTTGCCATCACTACCCGCAATTTTCCGTACTGGTAATTTGTGTGCTATGTCGTTACTAGATATCTGAAAGTATTGTGAATATCTTTTTAGATATTACTGATTTTAAATTATAGATTTAACCAAATAAGCCGCTTAAACTGCATTCTTTTTAGTAAGTAAATAAAAATATACATGCAGATATGTTATATCGGGCAATGCTTTGTAGAAATAAGCACACATTTTGGTAAAAATCTTCATATTATTTATCACTCTATGCAGCGAAAATTGACCAATTCTAATTATTGAAACAAAAGTATGTAGTTTTCAAAAATTTATGATAAACATAGTTTTCTACAGCTCAACAGATGGGACGAGTCATTTTGTTGTAAAAATGATATCTAACTGTAATGTATAATATGAGATAAATACAATCATCATTTGAAACCAACATTGGCGACAGATTAATTTTGATGTCGTATGAAACTTATAGTAATCATATTAGGTAGCTATGATACGTAAATAGAATTTGATTAAATGCTTATTTGTAAAGAAAAACAGTCATGTCATTTTAGGATAGTGTTTAGGAATAACGTACATTTCAAGAATAATTGAATAAAAATGAGGTTTTACTTTATAATTAAGATCAATATTTGAAGCAATAACTGCAAGCTTATGCTATTTTAAACGGATTTATATAAATGATGGTGACTGATTTACGCCATGTCGTATATTAGCTAAGAAAATGCGGAAACACGAATAACACAAAGTACAACTTTGTCACATCTTAATGTCTTAATCTTTTGGCATTTTTCTTTAGATTTTCGACGAGGAAAAGTGAAAGGCATCAAAATAAGGCATAAAATACATCATATAAAATGTAGTTTTGTTTAGAGAACCCGAGAGCCGGGCTTGCGACCCAATGATCTGTAGTCAAGGATTGTTACCACCAGACCGCCGCACTCGTTCTATCATATGTACACGAGTAAAGAGTTGTCATATGATATAAATCACTCAAATGTGTAGTGTTTATTAGCTATATATTTAAATTGTACTTTCAACATTCTTTATTTGAGAACGATGTTATCAGGTGTTTGAAGTTTAAAGTTTAATTTATATCTGATAAACAGTTTGAACAATCATAAGATTACATACATGAACCCGTTTGATAATTTACATGTATTATCTTTGCATGGGAAGAAAATATTCATTTTCGATTTTCGATTGAAAATCATTTTTAAATCGTTTATCACGCCTGTGAATGGTTGAAAGGACATTTTATGAGGTAAGCTTACATTTTTATTGCTTTTTACTTTAAAGTTTTGGATTTACACGTATTTACAAACCTACAACGTCTTTTTTCATTTTTTATCTGATTTTAACATAACAAACTTTCATATTAGAATACAGTGTATATCAAAAACGATATCATATTATTTTGATATCACATGCCCCCAAGGGTGATAGTGTATAGCGTAAACCCGAGAAAGGGAATATTTACCGATGTTTGAGCCAGGGAAGACATAAACTTACTGAAAGGGTTAACAATTAATTCCTCGCCCTAAGACGGTGTTTCTATCGAATAAGAAATATAAGAAAAAAACACTGTGGGTAATCTTCAATGTCGGAATTAATTTATTTTCAAAAAGAAAAAGAAGAACAAAGTGAAGATCAAAATGTAATACTTGGGTGGCTGAGGATGAATATGACAATTGAAAGAAGAATTTTAGGCGATTTATAATAGAAATATTATTTCATAAACTGCAACCAATGACTTTACAGCGTTTGCATTACATTGTTGATATTCAAATTGAAATCATGCTTGGATCCAATCTTATCAATGTAGCTTTGGTTTGAATTCCATAGTCCAACAAATCCACATCATTAAACACATATCTTATCCCATAAAGTCTCGACTTTATTTTCAGTGTCCAAAAATCTATATCATATGCATATCATACTCAAAGTAGCCTCGTTGTCATATTCAGAGCCCAAATATTTATATCAAATCCTTATTGTACTAGAAGTAACAAAGCTCTTTCAAAGTGTAAAAAATATTATTGTGTTCAATAAAGAAATCGTTATACATTGTTGTGTAAAATACTGATTTTGTTGAATTCGTACACGTTGAAGAACTTATATCGGTTTGACCACTGTGTACTTGTCCAATATAAATCTGTATTGTACTGAAATAGGTATAATTACCTTATTATATTTAACATCTTAATAAACGTAAAACTCATTTTAACTTTATAAACCTTTATTTTATATAGTTAAACGGCATTAATGATTTTACTATATTTATGTGTTTTCCAAATGACTATTAATAACATATTTTGTAGCAAAAAATTTCAAAAATAACCAATCATTTACATCTTAATGCATGTGATACATAATTTAGTTTCAGAATCTAGAAGTATTTACACTATGGCGACTTCATCAACATATGGTGACGATATTGATACTGATACGGTGCATTTCAAATGTTCAGAATCGGTGATCACGTGTCAAATTTGTATGGATATATTTGAAAGTCCAAGAATTCTACCATGTCAGCACACATTTTGTAAGAAATGCGTCGTTTCCTTGGTAACTAAACATTGTTTAGATGATGTCGGTAACACAAGTAAAGCCTCGTTTCCATGCCCGAACTGTCGACGGGATTGTAAAATACGCCAAAAAGGAAAGCACAGTATAGAAGAGCATCTCAAATGTTTCCCCGAAAGCCTATTGCTTAACACTGTTCTTGATTCGATAGAGGAAAAACCAAGAAGCCATTCTGATGAATCTGTTACAGATTCAGAACATGAAAAATGTACAAATTCTAATGACAAAAATTTACAATGTGATGCAAAAGAGATCCAGAGACTTTCCTTTGTTACTATTCTTTTTTATCTAAGGCTTCTTGATTTTATACGTGATGTGCATGTTTCCTATTCAAATTCACTTAACTCGGTTACCAAGACAACTTACGTTTATTTACTGAGAGATTTAATAAGAATTCCTTCGCTACCGAACACCATAGATATACGACAGCACCCTGTTTTTTATCTTCATGATATCCAAAACAATGGTACCAAAGAAGCGGCAATGATTGAAAAGGAGATAATGCCATATATCAGTTATCTTGGATTATATGAAGACGACATATATGAGATTATGAATAAGGACGCTCAAACACAAACAGATGATGAATATGTTAATTTTCTTTTTCTTAGTACACTGGTATTCAAATTTTTACTCCTAAAATCTTCCTCTTTGGTTGCATGGTTATTCCTGTTTCTGTTTAGAAACGCTAATGGAAAGTCGTTTGACTTTAGCTTGCATTACTCTTTACGCTTAAGAAAAATTAGATACTGGCGTCTATTTTACAAAGTATTTGATATTTCAACTATGTTATATGCATCTGAACAGTCATTTTTGTGGCCCTTTTCCTTGGTAATTGTGTGCTATATACTCCTTTTGGCATTCTTTAAAAGGATAAAGAATTTAGTTTCAGGTGGTGTCAACATAGGGAACACGTTGCCGTTTTTCCCCATATTTTTGATTAGTTTAAACTTTTTCTCAAATATTGTAAGATGTTACCTTTATACAAGTTGTATTGTCTATTCTTACTATTGGATTTTTGGCAAACTTTTACTTTTCGAGTTCTTACATGGCATTATTCAAATCATTGTCATTATTATCTTCTTTTTATGTGGTAAAATGCATTACAAATATGGGCCCTTTGTACACGAATCAGACATGTTATAGAAAATAAAAACACGTTTTTCTTTCATTGACGCATGTTGTATTAAAACACCATAATAAATTTAAAGAATGATTTGGCTTTGTAGTTGTTTCAGTAATACCTAGACTAGAGGTCGAAAAGATCACGCTAATTTTTTTACACTTCGTGAGAAGTTTAAGTCATTCTATATTTTATCACCTTACGAGAATGATTCAATGCTTTAACTTTGTAGTGTTTATTTGCTATATACATATATTCAAATTGTACTTTTGACATTCTATATTAGCGAACGATGTTTTCATGCGTTAGAGGTTTAAAGTTTATTTTATATCTGATAAACAGTTTGAAAAATAAAAAAGGTCATACATATACCTGTTTCCAAACATTTTGGATTCCCTTTAATTACATGTGCTAAATAAAACTTGAGGTAGGATAAAATGCTTCGATACTTTAGTTTTATTATTATCTATTTTTTAAGAAACATTGTGATTCAATTCTAATATCATTTAATAGTGTAAGTTTTTATCAAAAGTTGGAAATGGATCGTTTGTTTGTTGTTTAAGTTTGTTTGTTATTTTTTTGTTCGTTTTTTTTGTTAAACGGCACACTGACAACATATAACTTGCAATATAGCACCGATCATTATAACTTTTAAGCCAAATGTGGTAGTACACGCTTAAAAATGATTTAGTTAAATTGTAATTCCGTTAAGTTATTGATCAGAGTTTTGGATGGAACTGAGGCTAAAAGTTCTATAAGTAAATTTACTCAAAGTGGTATAATTTGATATTGAAATATTCATTGCAAGACGTACAAAATGTAGCACCGTCTCCTGTTGAAAGGTGGGAATGTTAAGTGTGTTCAATTCGAAATATGTAAGGCGAACTACTTGATTATTACAGTTTGGAAGTAATAAAGATTATAAAACACCAAGACATGAATTTATAACGAGACGCTTTGTTCTAATTTGTAGTACAGTGCAGTACAATGCCGTGTAATGCAGTGCAGGGCAGTGTAGTATAGTGTAGTGTAGTGCAGCAAAGCGCAGTACAGTTCAGTGTGGTGCAGTGCAATGCAGTGAAGTGTTTATGTAGCCAGTAACACTGGATGGGGTCAGTTTGACTTGTAATCATGCCAGGTAATAACAAATATAATGTAAAGCAACACATTCAAGTGCATGGGAAAAGGTACATAGTACGGTTGGACAGGACATAATGATTGTGTTTACAATGTGTTAGTGTTCAATGGACACATTTACATGATTCTGATCGTTGCATGACTTTAGATATATATATAGATGGAAGTTGTAAAAACGTCATGTTAATACGTCATAATGCTTATCTTGTGGTATATTTACTAAAAATGTATAATGATAATGTAATGAATAAATTGTTTTAAAAATCAGTATTTCTTTCTTAAATATTTTGGAGGGTTCAAGAAATACTAAGGGGTTACATGATCTTGTACAAGTATCGCTTATCAAATAATCCAGTAATACAAACTTTTTGAGGAAAAAGGAATTTTATATGGGCATCTCGCCTATCTCATCATGGTCTCTGCATGTTTTTTAACAATATCACAATCATAACATGAAACGAAATGTAGAAATTCAGTTACCATTTATATTAAAAAGCATGTTTCATTAAAGCGAAAGAGCAACATGGACTCTGTCGAGTCGTCTCTTTGTTTTATACAAACACATGTACCAGCAACAACTACTAAGGGTAGCTTAGAACCAAACAATGAGATTCCTACTATAAGACCTTCATAAATTGCCATACATCAAAAGCTACATATATAGATATGTATATAAGTATATTTAGATTTATTTAGATTTATCATATATATGCAAATAAAGCCATTTTCTTATTCTGGAAGAAAACCCGAATATTACAAAAACAATGGACACTTGTTCTGATTCCGAGTCTTTAATATTTTAATATTTATTTACCTTTACTCCATCATAATCACATGCTGTAGTTAACTAAATCAAAAGAGCATATAGTAGTACGGATAAACTTTGCTCTGTTTTTTTTTTTGACATGATTTAAAAGAAAGTATTTATCCCACAATCATAGCTTATTAAAGTCATTTTGGTCTTTTTTTTTACCATTTTTTGGGGAAAAAAAGGATTTCCTGTAATTAAACAAATTTTAGGGAATAAAAAGAAAAACTGGAAATTTACAGGTATATATATTATTCAGCATCACAAGTTACAACAATTATATATGGCTGTTGTTGATACACATGATCCAACGTATCAATATAAAACAGATAATAACTTTTTACTAGAACGAAATATTATTAATCATCATATATATGTTTCTACTTAATCATTTTAGAAGCGTATTAATATTTTGTTTTTCAAAAATACATCATAGAAATATCCAAATGATACATTTGTATTAAAATTTGAAATATATAACGACTGGTTATTGTAGATCAATTCACATTAAGTGCTTAAATAATTTTACTAAAACATCTACCAAATGGGGTTATTTAATGAAATATTTATGTTCTTGTTTTCAAAAAATGGCAAACTAATTCAAACAAGGTAGGAATTATCATCAGTATGGCAATGTATACTCTTGTTATACTTTACTAGACTAAGTGTAACTTAGCAAGTTAATTGTATGTAGCTACTCTTAAATATACAAATTGCTCTTAACATTTTATAGTGACTTCTTCTTGCTTTGTGTTGAATTAACTACGTAATCACAATCCGCTTTAGTATTAAAAATTGTTTCACAGATTCGTGTCAGTGTTTTTAAACAAGAAAAACCAACCAACCAACTAACCAACCAACTAAAACTCAATTTAATCATATCATAGGCTATACGCTTATTAAACATGTAAAACTAAATTAAATGGCATTAACTCTTCTAGTTAACTGTTCAGTGATATATAATATGTAACAAAAGTGTCGTTCCTTCTGTAGCAGCCGCTAAGGTTGATGTGATTGGTAGCATTGATATCATTTCAATTATACCTCATGGATTTTCAAGTAAACCCATACACTCCGACGGAGGCAATATTTCCGGCTACAAAATTTGTTTGTAAAGGCTTTCAGGAGAACCTATATTCGTTTATCGATTGAAATTTTCTAAATAAAATAATCTTGACAATGGGATATCCCTTTAGAACAATAAAAACTAATGTTTAGAGTGAAAATTGCAGGCTCTGTTTGATTGACCCTGTTCATGCGAGATAATGGAAAGTAAAACACTTATTTCTATTGCAATATGCAGTTTAAACACTTGTCCGGCTACGAAGCAGCCGAGTCTTATATGATTTTGAATATGACCCATGATATACTGCGGAATGACAAGAATTTATTTTACGAGTCGTCAATAAAAAATAACAAGTACATAAAAACATTCACACATATCAGCCTAACATTTTATGACCAAATTTAAATGCAAAACATTTTATTTACATATTCTTCAAATGGTAAGACAATGTTTTCTTGACTCCTCATACAAAAAAAAGACTGTGCAACAGTTACTGTCTGTTGTTTACCAAGATTCAATATCGTGGAACAGACTCAAATTAAATCATACTTAAACACGTTATCTCCACCAAAAATAAACTGTTTCGCTTTTGGATAAAATGCATCGGTTTAGAAACTAGGGAAAAAATCTTTTGGAACATAAAGTGGTAACACCGCTGAAAAACGTATAGGCTATATTTCATAAGGTATGAAATAAATAACTTTACTTTGTACTGCGTAATTTGTTTAAGTTTAAAAAGAACAAAAAGCTATTTCGTACAATGCGATAAGAAAAATCGAAGTTTGATTAAGTTTATACAATGTACATTTTAATGAAACATTGAAACACAAATATGCGATATACTTTATACCTGTAAAAGGGAGTGTTTTTTCGAAGTGAAAGATAACATGCCCGTTTGATACCGGTTAAAGTAAACGGCAGAACATTTAGAGGAAACGGACAATAAAAGGGATATTTAAGTTAGTTTATACTTAAACTTTTTATGTGTACCTACATCTACTTGTAGAATATTGTGTAGTTTTGTTTTTTCTAAAATGCCTGTTTAAGATGAAATAAATGCACCTCGTCTAACTACACTATCAAGGCTAATTGGAATATTATTGTCCTAGCAAACCAATCCAGGACTTACTGCGAACTTTAATATAGCAACTTTTTTGCAAATTTAGATTTAACATTTAATATACCATGTTGGATTGTGAAAAAGGTCATAATTATGTTAATAAATTGACTTTTTGTATATAATGAGTTCATGTGCTTATGTACTTTTTCCCTCGTGTAATACTCAATGAAAGTGAATATCGTGTGATAAAAATTTCGTTTCAGAATCTGAAAGTATTTACACTATGGCGACTTCATCAACATATTGTGACAGTACTGATACAGTCTATTTTAAATGTTCAGAGTCGTTGATTACGTGTCAGCTTTGTACAGATAAATTTGAAAGTCCAAGAATTCTACCATGTCAGCACACATTTTGTAAGAAATGCGTCGTTTCCTTGTTAACGATGCATTGTTTGGATGATAATGGAAACACAAGAAAAACTTCATTCCCATGTCCAAATTGCCGACGGGAATGTAAAATACGACAAAAAGGAAAGCACAGTATAGAAGCACATCTCAAATGTTTCCCCGAAAGCCTTTTACTGAACACTGTTCTTGAATCAGTGGTGGAAAAGCCCAGAGGTGAGTTTGGCAAAGTAGGAAAGGAGACAGAAAATTACAATTCTAAGTGTTCATGTGACAAAAATGACGATAAACAAAAATCTCAAGTGAAAGAGATCGAGAAGAGACAGATCTGTTTTAACATTCTATGTAGTTTACATGTGCTTCTTTTCTTAACTCATGTACATCTTTTCTGTTTAAATTCACTGAAAACGGTTTCTAAATCAACTTACGTATTCTTTTTCAAAAAACTGTTAGCAATCTTTAGAATAAAGAATGCTATGAATATAAACAAACATCCTGATTTAAAGCAATTTGATATTGAAAGCAATGCAGCCGAAGAAGCAGCACAGCTTGAACGTCAAACAAATTTATTTATTGATAACATTGATCTAACCGAGGAAAATGACACTGAAATTATTCTAAAAAATGCCCAAACACAGACAGAGGACGCGGATATTGCGTTTCCTCTACTCAGTAAACTTGTTATCAAATCTTTACTTGTAAAAAATTCGTCTATCGTGCAATGGTTATTGAACTATTTGTTTGAAAAACGTGATATAAAAGTGGTTGATTTTAGTCTTTGCATTTCTGTGCAATCTAGAAAGATTATATTCTGGTACCTGCTCATCAAATTATTTGATATATTTACGATGCTTTATATAGCAAAACAGTCTTTTACCATGCCATTTTTCCTGTTCTTAATGTGTTATGTTATTCTTCTTGTGTTCTCCAAAAGAATTAAGCTTTACGTTGACAGAGGTCTCTATATAAGGAGCGCATTGCCACTTTTCCCGATATTTCTGATTTGTTTGAATTTCTTCTCAAATCTTAATAGGTGTATTCTTTATTTAAGCTGTTTGGTGTTCATTAATTTTTGGCTGTTAGTGAGGCTCTTATTTTTCGAGTTTCTCCCGTACCTGACTATTTTTGCTACTTTTAAAATCCTTGATTTCTGCAATAAAGGCCATTTAGCCAGACAATATGGACCATGTGTACAAATAATAAGTGTTAAACAAAAAAGGAGAAACATATTTTTATAAGAAAAATGTTTTCAAAAACTATTTCATAGGTTTATTGAAACGAAGATATCCTATGTAGAATTATCACTAATTTACTATGGACGGGGGTCTGTTTCTTTTGAATGGCCAAAACTGCGTCAAAAACATTATCAAACAAATGTGTGGCATGTCTAGAGAGTTTCAAAAATATGAATTTCTGACGCAAAATATGCCTTTAAGTTAAGACATATAAATATGCAAGTACACATGATGAAGTTAAATGATGTGATTCTTCAATCAGTTGTTGCCTCATGTTGAGGAAATAAAACAACTTTTAGTTAGCAATATGAAAAAAAAAACCTTGAGGTAAATAAAATAAAAGATTATCTCGTTTCAGTGTCATTCTGTATTACATTTATATGATTTTAAAAAAAGAAGTTAGAATTCAATTGCATAAAAAACTTTGGGTACATGTTTTGTTCATTCATATACAATAATCACTATGCTAGAAAATCATTTAACCTTTTACCCCATGAGCATATTGTGAAAAATGGCCATTTTCATTGAAAAGCCTCCTGTAACAAGTTCAAACTGCTATGAAACTGTGAAAAATGCTTTAATACTAATGAAACTTGGCACAAATGTTGACTACACCTTAGCCTCTGTAACAGCATGCTCAATGGTAAATTTCCTGATACAATGGCAGCGGGGGTCGTCTCAAAATTGCCAAAAATCATTATTTTGCATTGTTTTTTTCCATCAAAACTGTTTTCAAAGTGCTGCAACTTCTCAATGAATTGAGATAGAGTAAAAGACTTTTCAGCGTCGGTTACTAGTTACCCTGAGATCGACCTGAGGCCATTTTTAGCCTGTCACATGTCCAAAATTTTCTTGGAGACGAGGGGGACTCCGCCCCCTTCAAACCCCCCAAACAGAAGGGGACACATCCCCCTTCTGGCAACCCCCTGATGTAATATTTGTATGGGTTACGGCGCCGAAAAAGTGGTCACTTTTTTAAACAACATTTCTACTCGTCGAAGTACTAAGTGTACTCGTATATGCATATAAAATATGAATTAAAACTGATTTTCTTTTGTAAAAGCATTGTAAAAATGTTGCTGTGAATGAATTTGATTTGAATCGAAATACAAAATTAATGAATAAAAGAATGAAACAAAAAAGTTTTTAAAAATTGTTTTAATTTTACTTTTTTTTTCAATATATTAACAACTCATCAACATTAAATTTTGTATAAATCCATGGATACAAAATAAGGTATTTTTGGCCGTACTCCATAGAAAACCCCCGTAGCCCTCCCCCTTTTAAAATTGCATTTACCCCCCTTTAACAAAAAACTGTAACCCTCTTCATTTAAAAATTGTTACGGGAATACAAAAAAACCAGGAAAAAAACTTCAAAGTAAAAATTTATAGAAATTTTTTTAAAAGGGTTTCTCGGGCACTTCTGAATTCGACATATTTTGCAGGGTAAAAAGTTAAAATTTTTTGGACTTCCAAACTGGAAACCAACTTATTTTGTTAGGAAGTTTGACAAAATATTGGTATATTTTTCGCAATATTGTTGAAATTTGAACTAAATGTGTAATACAACAGGCGCGTTGAAAACATAAATTATTCAATTTCTTAAATTGGCACACCATAAAGGGAACATAACTCATAACACAAATATCCCGATTTGATTTAAATAAGGTAGTGTCCCTTTTTAATTCGCATATTCTAATTACGCTCTCAGAACATGTCAATGTTTACATTTGGAAAATTTAAAATTTAACTTAAAGTCAAAAAACTATTTTGTTTAAAAAAGTAAAAAAAAAAACTGGGGGTTTCATTCTATTTAGAAGGGTTTGATGTTTCCCTGTTATGGTGAAATATTTCGAAAAAACATTACAAGGGGTTTAAAAAAAACGTCCCCCAAAAAAAAAGTTGATTTTACGGGCTTTGTTTATTTAAAGCCAAAAGAAGAAAAAACATAGAATTTTTTTTTAAACCCGCACAAACCCCGTTTTTTTATACATAACGGTTTAAAAAATTTGTTAAAAACAAAAATTATTTAAATTTTCTATTCTAAAAACAATTTTTAAAAAAACTTTGGGGGATGATTTAAAAAAATGTTTATTTACGGGAAAATTTATCTTTTAAAAAACCCTCAGAAAACAGTTTTTTTTAAAAAAAGATCTTAAAAATTTTGGGTTTCATGCTTTATTACGTACTTTGTTTTTATTCAATACCACCTACTTTTGAGGTCAATGTAACTTTCTATTGACCGTCTATCGCAACACAGGGACATTGTTAGTCATATACTAATAATATCTTGTGATACGTAATTTTCGTTGTCTATCATGTCATCGTAGGCTTATAAGCCTTATTTGATTGAAATAAAATATATATTTGTCTGTCTTTCTTTCTGTCTGTCCTTATCACAGGCTATATATTATCTCTGAAAAATAAATTTGAATGAAAATACATATATATGTAAACACTTTTCAAAAAAAGAATATAATTGTATTGTGCTAGATAACATACGAATTTAATATTTGTTTTTGAAAATGTTTATAGCGTTTATTGTTCTTACCAATTGTATTGGAAACCGATAAGTAAAGAATGGTTTTTAAAGTAAGTGGCAATTTCATCGCTTTTAATTCGTTTTACAACATTATATAATTAGTGTATACCTCCGTATGGTCAACAACTAGTAACGTGTTTGTAATATTTATTACTAAATATGAAACATTGAGATAGACTTAAAGCATGGCTGCACTTTTATAACAATCATAATTATAATGTATGTGAAACGTTAGTTTTGATATAATAACATATATTAATAAATATATATCAAAAAAGCAAAAGAAACAACAGCAAAAACCCGCAGGAAATTTCAAGTGTATTATTCGAAAGACCGGTAGGGCCATTTAAACTTCATGAATTACCGATTTTATCTTCATGAATTCACAATTTAAACTTCGTGAATTCCCGTGATTTCCGCTTCATGAATTACTGATTTCAACTTCACAAATAAGGACTTCAACCTCGCGATTTCACAATTTCAACTTCAATGATTCAATTTCTAAATTCACGATTTCAACTGCACGAATTCACGATTTCAACTTCACAGATTCACGATTCCAACTCCATGACAACTTAATGAAGTTTGAATCGTGAATTCGTGAAGTTAAAATCGTGAATTCATGAACCTGAAGTTGTAAAATTATTAAGCTGAAATCGTGAATTAACGAAGTTGATTTCGTGAAATTGAAATCGTGAATTCATGAAATTGAAGTCGTGAATTCGTGAAGAAGAAATTGTGAATTCATGAAGTTAAAAATCGTGAATTTGTGAAGTTGAAATCGGGAATTCATGAATCTGAAATCAGGAATTCATGAATCTGAAATCGGGAATTTAAGAAGTTGAAATGTCACCACCGGTCTTGCGTAGTATTAAGCTATGTATCAGCTGTAACAATATTGTTTAACGTTTTGTAAAAAAGAATGCTTGTAGCGCCGTTATATGTCGCAACGCCGCTAAATGTGGCACTTGCCGCTTAATGTCGCACAATTTCCGCTAAATGTCGCAACCGCCGCTTAATGACGCAAAATCATTTGCCGTTAAATGTCGCAATGTTAACGTTAAATGTCGCACGGGAAATCCGCCTACTCAAGACGAATTATGTCTGTTTGAAAACGAGTGATTTTATCATATATGGAAATGCGCTGCAAATAATACAACGATAATACTTATATCATAAATAAATGTATATTGTTTTACGTTCGATTTTTACCTGATACAAGTACATATTGATAAATTAATTATACAATTGTCTACCATTTGTAAAAAAACTGCAAAATTTACATTGTTATGTTAATAGTTTTGCACAAACATGTCTGTAAAATTAGCAAAAGAGACACCCTTACGGCCTGGCTGTCTGAGTTGGCAGAATGATGGCCTAGTAGGCTGAGTAGGCAAATCGTCTCGCAGTCGGAAGAGGAAGCCTAAATTGCTGACGACCTGTTGGACCTTAGGAGTTTGCCTAACGCCCTAGAAGCCTAACGTCGGTAGCCTAGCATCCTGAGGAGACAACCTGGTATGTGTTAGATTGAATCTGGTACAGAAGTCAACGTAGATAAATAAAATCAGTTTTGAAAGCATAAAACATGTTATTTGCACAAACAGTTTATATGCTTTTATTATATGTGCGTGTTTTTATTTCCATTTTAACGCCAAAAAGGCAGTGCTCATTCATATTGTTTCTTCAATAAATATAAAAAATGTTTTCTTTACGCATCTGTTCCATATTATATTTTTAACAATAAAATTCCGGAAACAAAGTGATCCCTCGGAAGCATTAATCACAACAAAATAACATTAGAATTGCAGACTCGGTTTGATTGAGTCTGTACATGAGGGATAATGAATAAGTGCAACATCCCTCACGCCCCCTAGCGAGCGGTACTCAATTCTCAACACTTTATAGTGTTGGCATTAATGATCCCGAAGGACCAGAAAATATAACAACACTGAAATGAAGTACGGGGCAACTTTTTACGGCTGCCACACGGCACTTGACACCTGCTGTTGTGAAGTACAAAATTCCGGAAACAAAGTGATCCCTCGGAAGCATTAATCACAACAAAATAACATTAGAATTGCAGACTCGGTAGATTGAGTCTGTACATGAGGGATAATGAATAAGTGCAACATCCCTCAAGTTCTCTTAAAATAAATACTCTATGGTGCCTATGTTTTGTAGTTATGGTCATTTGAATTTTACTATGACGTTCTCGACATGCGCGTTAGAACAAGATACGAAATCAAAAAGTTCTAATCAAACTCGTGACAAAAAAAGCTACGAGCATAAAAGTGGTTACAAATATAATTAATATCGTCGTTACCCATGTATAATGTATGTCTTGTGTTTTGTTTTTTTCCCGAAAAATGTCAGATTAAATTTCATTGAAATCGTAACAGATGAAGATTTTCATTACAGCAAAAGCAATCATCATGTGACAATAAAATATAAAAAGCCTAGATTCCCTGGCCAATACGGCTAGCTGTATTCAACCAACAAGCAAGGCCAATATGAGCAAAAAAATAAATCTCAAAATCGTTCAAATTGAATACATTAGTTGTTCAGATGTGTGTTAAGGAACATCAGTCATTGATAAAATAGAGAAAAAAGAACCCCTAAAGAAAGTCCAAAACGGCAAAATTGAAAATGTTGCAGGTTCCGTTTGATAAATCCAAAATTAATACTGTACCGGTACTGGCCGGCCACGGTATCGCGTACTGTGTCTTAAGCCGGTGAACCGGGGTGTTCCGTGGTGTTTTTCTGAGAAATCAAATTGCGTTTACACACCCCCGTCAGAGCCCAGGTGTATTCCATGTTCAGAGCCCGATAAAGCACTGGATATATAGGATAAGCGCCGATTCTAAATCGGTGTATTTCCGCTTGATTCCCGTGGAGACCCGACTTGACACGGTTTCATCAACGTCAATCTCGACTATCGCCGATTTTGCCACGGTAACGCCACTTTTAATGCAGGTACTGTCCCGGTGACGCCTCCGTTAATGCGCCGATGCTTCTGGTTCAAGTTGATGAGAATAAAACTGCCCGACCACGTTGACATCAGTCATTTGGTAAAAACTCAGCAGAGATGCCGTCCAAAGGAAAGGGAATGAAAGTTAGCCTACAACGCTTACATAGGTTGAGGTACCTGAAGCTGAAGATTTTTTCCTACTCTCATTTAACAAATTGTCCATGCTCGTGTTCCTTCTCTAAACAAAATGACCCAAAGTAGCACTTCTATGGTATGTTAAATGTTGCAATATTCAATAAATTAAATTTTTGTTCTATATCTAATATTTATATTGCATAACTCTAATTTTATATTGTATACCATAACAGCTGAATATTTGTTCATCATAAAAAACATTTGTGTGCGATAATTTTCTATTTATATGTTCTATATTTAAAAATATATATTGTAAAATAAAAAATATTTATTATGTAGATCTACAGAAATCTGCTTATTCGATAATTTGAATCATGGGATAGAACACTTAGCATACTAAGCGCCGCCTATAAAGTAAGCACGAATGTCTGATAAAGCGTTATCATCCTGATTAAACTGTGGACATG